CGATAATACGACGGCGCATGTTACAGCAAGAAAACGAGCAGCAACTGGAGATAGGAAACAAAGTGTAGGTAAATGTAGCTCGTAATACAACTGTACGGGATATTTCTCGATCAAACCGGGTCTCGAGTCCGCTCGTTTTACGGGCGCTATCAATCCATCGAGCTTGACGGAAGTTACGATATAAAGCAGTCCTGTAACGAAGCCGGGGCGAACAGCAGATTTCAACGGCGAAACGAGGACGTTTGCGAATCCGCGGAGTCGCAAACGGCGTAACGACTCTCGAAAGTGCTCTCTCGCCGGCAACATGGCGGAAGAAGGGTTTAGCCCACTCCGGAGACGAGTGAACTTTAGGAATGTAACTCCTTGTGTCTGATAACTCAACCTACGGGGAAGCTAATAATTCTCCCTTCTACCCGACGCGAATTGTCCCTTTAATCTGGCGACATCATATCTTTTCACGAGCATCTCAACGTCCTGATATCCTTATCATCAGCAGCTGAAAGATTTAGAAATTATTCCGCTGCGAGGAAAAAAAATACACGAAGTCCTTTAATTCGGCGATTAAATTTTACGTTTCTCTTAAATACTTTGAAATGTATTTTTTCTGTCAAATTTTGATTTATTGTTAAGGCAATTGATATTAAAAATGAAAAAAATTATGAAAGAATACGTCTATTGAAAGATCAGCTTTAAACTAGTCGAAGAGTCCACAATTTGACGTAAAGTGCATTCTGAAATACGTTATCTTGAATATACTCGACACATCCTTAATATACATACATATCTTCTTGCTCGTGGGTACATAAGAGGATTAATACTTCGACGGTGATTTGTTTTCGCCGACGTTGAATTCTTCGTCCTCCCCGGAATTAATTAGTTTACCCAACGGCTTCTGGCAAGTGTTATTCCGCTACACGCCTCGTATATTTCCTTGTATTTGCCGAGCTGCAAGGATCGTATATCGTCGCCTCGTTTACAGGCTTTCGCGAGAAACAGAACGAGAGTAGACCGCGAGGAACGAGGCTCTCCCTCTCTCGTTTCGATGAGACCGTAACGATACGGGCGGCTTTGCCAAATTATGGCAATAATATCACTTAGAATCGCATGGAGCGCGGATTCAAGAGAAATTTCACTTAAGCCGGCGATTCGCGGGATCGGTGCATACGAAGCTAGACGCGCGACTCGCCTAATGTTCAGTCGTTCCCGAAACAACCGACTTTAACCTACCAATGAGCCACTTAACGACCAGCCTCTCTCGGTCTCCAATTCCACCATTTAACTTTTTCTTTATTTTTTTACGCTATTCACGACTCATTTTGAAGCTGAAAAAACCAATATAACTGAGATATATATTTAACTCTCTGTGCAATAAGCACAGAATAATCTATTTTTCTTTTTTTTAATTGTCGCGTTTAAATAGTAGAAATAATTATTAATTTTGTTCAAATATTAAGCAGTTTTGTCTGCTAAATTAATTTGCTCAATTTATATCGCGTTTTATATGTCAGAATATATTCGAATCACTTGGAATTTTGAACCGCGTTTTGAATTCTAGATTGAGCCAGACGTTAAACGGATCTAGATCTTCGTTCTCCTCTTAAAAACCTTTTATCCTCTTTTGCTGCAAAATTGTCTCATCCCACTTTCTCGATGCCGTCTGGGTCGAAATCAAATTCAAAGTTCATTTTCAAACGGATAAATCGATTTCCTTTAATGATCTTCAGTCACTGAGAAAGCTCGAACAAGATTGAACTGTCTTAAAAGAATTTAGCAAACTTTTGCTCTAGAGTAAGTATAAAGTTTAAGGCGAGGAGATTAACTTTAGAATAATTTTTAAATTGATCATTAGTTTAATCTTTATTTTACGCCTGAAAAACAAAATTTAGAAATTTTTTTTTCATTCTTGAAATATTGACCAAAATCGTATTACACTTGATAAAATATAGAAAAAAAGGTTTTATTTGTGTTACATTTAATTCATAATTATATTAATCAAATCAATTTCGATTTTGTGATTTTTAATTCATGTTTCATAACTCTAATATTTCAGAAATTTTCTTTAATTTCTATCTTAGATCTCAAAACATCTTCACAGATCCTTCGAAACCTCTCGAGCCTTAAGTACAGCACTTCGACGTTATTCTCATAGCGCCTAACAGATAAAACGGCACAATTCCTCAAACTCCTCTTTCAGAAGTCGCACGATAAACGCGCGAATATCTCGCGCGTCTTGAAGGAAGCGCGTCTTATTGAACCGCTTCGTAACTCGATTAAAGCCACTCCATGCGCGCGAATAATAATAGCGGCTCATTAAAGCATCTGAGGAAGTGATGAAAGTCTTCGGGTTTGCGCTTCCATTTGTGAAAGAGCGTTTGATTGGGAATATAAGTTCGTGAAAAGGAACTCGTCAGAATCGTGCGAATATTAGGAGAGAAGAGAACGTGAATGAATCTATGAATGCATGGATTAATAAATGAAACAGTTTTGTTTATTTCCGAAGAATTTTATTTATTGACATATACAATACCAATCTAATAATACAAGATATGAAGTGTAAAATTTTTATTTTATATAAATAGAATACATAGTAATTGAGAATTATTAATTCTTCTTGCAATCTTTCGAGCGTCGGTAATTAATTGAATTAATAATTTTTACGCGTAAAGCGTTAACTAAAATCAACAGAGTAGATTTCGAAATAATTTCGAAACGTAACAAAAAAAATATAATATACGTATATAAAATTTGTACAATTTGCACTTTATTAATAAATTAGGAATTATTATAATATATAATTTAGTACGTCAATAACTTTAGAAATAAAATTTTGATTAAAAATTCTATTAAAATAAAAATTTGAAATTTGAAGTTGTTACAAGTTTGAACTTTTCAAACATTTCGTAATAATAATACGAAATATTTTATGTGCGTATGTTTTCTCAGGAACAGAAAGTTATCATAATTTATCTGGAAAGTTAATTAAGACAAAGTGCAGCGAATTTACGTAAAAAAGGTAAAATGATAGGAGGAAGATTCCTTCGACTGTTTAGGGAAAAGTACTAAAAGGCGAATTCTTCACGCCACCCTATCTACGCAACCTGACGACATGAATTTTGATTTGCAAATGAAATCTCAACTTCGCCGAGAGTTTTACGCCCGGCAATCTTCCCGGTCGTCTTTGTTTTCGGCCGCTTTCACGGCGAGCTCCAATTATGCGGACCATTCTCTCTCATCCCGATTCCTCTCCTCTCATTCCACTTTCATTCTATTTTTTCTCGATTTGTCTCTTTCCTCTCTATCGTCGCCATTGATCTGCGTTTTCTTTTCTTCTGTTAGCCGAGAACTTTCGCGGAGAATGTCGGACGGAGAAGGAACCCGGCATGAAATTCGCGAGCGGACTGAATCCTAATTATCCCGACGTTTCTTCCGTTTCTGGCTTTCCCCCCCCCCTCTTTTTTTTTTTTGCACCCGTCGCTTTTCTCGGACCGCGTCCTTCGTTATACGCTATCGTGCGTTGCAAGAAACGTCGGATCCCTTGGAAAGGGACAAAAGTGGGTCTCTCGGAGTAGGATAAAAATCAGAAAAGCGAGCGTCCACGCGCTCAAAGTCTGCAGTCGCGCTTATGACTAGTACGTGATCGCCATTGAAATACCTTTCTTGTTGTGAACGGCAAATTATTTTGAATGAAATTGGATTACTGACAAAAGTAGAAAGGCTCTGCATTCGAGCTCTTATCTTTTCAACGATATAAAGTCACATAAATGAGAATGTGTTATTGAACTTCTAAGGGTAACGTTAGTCATAAGCAAGCAGATAAGAAGATAAAAATGTAAAAAGATAAGAATTGTGTTTTAATCCGGTTCAATCTAGTTCGTAAAGTTTAATATTTCGTCTAAGTTCTCTTGACTGTAAGTTCTTTGGCAAGCACAGAGCTTTTTAACAAAAATTTAATTGCAACATCTTTTTAAAATTGTTAAAATTGTTGTCGTTTAAAGTATAAAATTTTATTGCATCGCAAAATGTACATTTTAAAGTTATAATTCAACAAATGTTATGATATAATATTATAAGGTATAAAAATAAATAAAATGTACATTTTATTCAATTTTAAGCATTGGAATTTTGCCATAAATTTTGCCTTTTTTACCATAAAATTTAATAAGCGTAGCATTTTAAAGTTTATATTTTCTTTATTATGATGCATTGAAATCTTATATTTTATATTTTAAACAATCTTATCTTATATCTTATATTTTAAACAAAGAAATAATTAAAATGTTAGTCAACTAATATTGAAAATAAATAACTTGAAGTTTAGGCTCGCAAATTTCAAAACGATGGAATAGCAGGAGGATCTCAAGTCAAAGAAGATTGTAAATTTTTGATATCTTT